TTTAGAAAAGCTCTCCACTTCTTTAACTTTGTAGGGCTGAAGTCTCTTAGATATCTCTGCACACCTTTGCAAGTTCATTGGACTTCCTTCCTTAGTAATCCCTTTCAAATCCCTCTCTCACCATCACAATCTTCCTTTTTATTCCTTTCCTAGTGACTCTCCCTTCCTTGTTTACCTTTCCTCCTTGTCTACCCCTCCCATCTCTTCTCTATTTTGTCTTCATCTCTCTCTCGTCCCACAAACGCATTCATGCTGGAGTCTACTGGTTGCTCCTGGTCTTTCTTTACTCTCTCCTTGTCTTCATTGCTTCACCTTATATCTTTGCCTACTAGGTGCTTTATCTTGTCCAAGATGTTTGTTCTGTTTTCCCTATTACTTGCTTTGTACATTTTAATATTCTCTTGATATTTGTATATTATCCCTTTCTTGATGTAACTTCTGTAATTTATTTCTGCTCTTACTGGTTTGTTAAACTTTTCTTCTCTTTTTAAAGTTTTCTTACTGCCTGCTCAACTTACTTCTCTCATTTGCTTCTGGGTTTCTTACCTGAGTGTACATGCTATCTTCTCTTCCTGGCTGTTTGTTAAACTATGTATTTACTTGTTAGCTATATGTATTGTGAATATACATTTGTTAACTGGATCTGTAACTGGAAAGTGCATCACAGAGTACCTGACACAGGTACTGAGGGCTCCTAGTACTTACTTTTTCAGGGGACATTTTAAAAAACGGTGTGAGCATAAGGTGGTTTGATGTGGACACTAATAGTCAATACATTGTTGCTCAGCTTCCACTCATCCACTATGTCTTTTATTTTCTCTCTCCTATCTCTCTCACCTGTTTCAGGTTGTCTTTTGCTTTCAGGGACGGTTGCTTCCCGCTTTTTCTTTACACTTTCTTCTTTACTATCTTTTTCTTGCAGTTTTTGTAAATGGTAGGCGATTCTTTTCTGAAGCATTACTTGTTTCTGCAAAATATTAAAAATACATTACATATGTTTCAAATTCAAATAGAAACCTGACAATAAAAATACAACATTGATTATTTCAAATGTGATGATGGTCCTGAGGTAGACCTTTGTTCCTGTCTGGAGATACCTAAATTTACAATGAATTTGAAGAGAGGTATTAAGAGGCAAGTTTCCTTTTATGTGCATGTGTGCATGTGTTCGTGCTCTCTTACAATCTGGAAATTTAAGCTAGGGTCTTGTACATGCTAGGCAATCCCTTTACTGTTGAGGAAAACATATTTTAGTAACAACTCAATCTAATTTAACTTTCTGGAGACTCTTTCTTGAAATACAGATTGGGGCTAGAATCAATACCGGTTGGGACTCCATCAATAACTATCTCCTGAAAATTCATACTTTAAAATATAAAATTGCGGCAAAAGCCTTTCTTAAGACAGCCCAAGTCCAGCAAAAGCTGACTACCTTTTGGTTAATTTCCTCTCTGATTTTTCGCCGATGTTCGTCAGCTTTTGCTTCTCTCTTAACTTCTTCTCCAATCTTTGATAGAAGTGCCATCTCCTTGGATTGCCATTCCTATGGGACATGCCATTACAGTTCTCAGCACATGTCTACTTCATTTTAAAACTATTTTCTTTTTCCCTAACCAATATGCAAATTAGGTCAAATCAATGGCCTAACACATTTTGGGTCAATAATAAAGCAAATCTTGCACTGACTTGTGAACGTGCTTATCTATCTGCCATTCCCTGGGACTGTCCTGCTGGATATGATGAAGTAGAACAGGAAAGAAATTATTTTGTTATTACAACCATGAAGCCAGCACAAACGTGACTCTGAAGATGAATCACAAAAGATACCGGCAAAAGGGTGTTGACTTCTAACTCAGGGAAGACATCACATGTACTTGGCTGCTCTTAAAGGTATTCTGACAGAGAAACTAAACAAGTAGCCATGCCAGAACTCATGTGGAAGTCAAAGGA